GAGAGAGAGAGAGAGAGAGAGAGAGAGAGAGAGAGAGAGAGAGAGAGAGAGAGCGCGAGGGAGGGAGAGAGAGACCCTAGGTCTAGCCCTAATTCAAAGGTATAAAGTTGAACAGGACTTGAATCCAAGGAGAGGGGATTTAAGGCTGTCTAGCATAGGCCTCAAGAAGATTTCTACTCCAAACGTCAAATAGTTTTCATAAATCTATGTCAACCTTTTGTCTTGGAAACTCCCTCCTGTTGAATTTCTTTATTCAGCTAGTGAGATCTATTGATCATCTGTCTTCTTTCACTCATCATCATATCTACACAGTTTATGCGCGTTACTGTAAATAGCAGGTTTTTTTGGTACCTGGGATCAAACTTGGGACCTTGCACTTTCGAAGCAGGCAGTGGAACTACTGAGCTAAATTCCCGGCCCAATTGTTATTTTTTTATTACTGTGTCATAGTCCATTGTATGAATAACTACAATTTTATTTACCATTCTGCTATTGATAGATATTTGGTCCATTTTTATCTTTTTTTTTTTTTTTTTTGGTACTGGGGATTGAACTTGGGATCTTACCCTTGGGAGGTAGGCAGCAGAACCACTGAGCTAAATCCCGGGCCCGTCTGGTCCATTTTTAGACATGATGAATAAAACTACTATGAACATTCTATAAATGTCTTTTGGTGAACATACATATTCCTACATGAGATAATATAACTAAATACTTCCTCTATCAATTCAGGTGCTCAAAGATACCATAATGGAATTTGATGTGCAAGAAATTTATGGGGGAAATGCCTGGGAAAGATCATGGAAGGAGTGTCATCAGATCCAAGTCCTCCTGCTCACCACTCAAAAGCCAATACTTGGGCCAGGGATTTAGCTCGGTGGTTCTGCCACCTGCCTCGGAGACAAGAGTTGGTGGGAAAGAAATCAGGTTTATTCATGGCCTGGCACCCTGAGAAGATGGGAGGAAGCTACTGCCACCACCACCACTACCCCCCCAAAAAAACACGCCCTCATAAGGAATTAAGATATGCAAAAGAGCTTTAATAGGGAGGGAAAAAGAGATATAGTTGAACACTGTTGGGCAAGGCCCACCAGGCCCTGGGCCAGAAAGTTGGAGTCCACGTTGACCTCCAGTAGTGCCTCCAGTAGTTCCTATGTTTTCTTTAAACAAACATACTACTTTTGTGCAAGTTAAATCTCACAGAAATTCATATGCTTGGGGCTGGGGATTTAGCTCAGTGGTGCCACACCCACCTTGCAAACACAAGGACCTGAGTTCAATCCCTGGTACCCCAAGGGAAAAAACAAATTAGATTTTTCTTTTCTTTTTTTTTTTTTTTTTTTCAGTGCTGGGGATGAAAACCAGAGATTGAGTGTGCTAAGAAGCATTTGATCACTGAGCTACATCTCCACCCCTTTTGAGTTTGGAATGCTGGCCAAAGGGAGGGGACGTCAAAGGACAACTCCCAAAGGGCTGGCCACTGTTACCAAAGGGCACAAGAGTGAGCAAGGAGAGCGTCCAGGCCACAGTGCAACTGGGAAGGTTCCTCAATCTCGTCCAGGCTGACCAGTACTGGAGCTGTTTGAAAGGCAAGAATGACCTGATCTAGGGCTCTTGCGGTGAGCAGTATTTGGCTGGGCACAAGACCTGGGACAGTGTGATCTCACATGAATACTGGTGGACCAAAGGTGCGGCAGCTGGAGGCTACTGACCAAGTAGCCCCCTTGCAGCAGGCTTGCTTGAAGAGAGATCTCATCTTCTCTACTACCACCACGGCCACCACACTACCAAACAAGTACACACACTGGCGATTTATGAGAATTTCCCTTATGTTATCTTTGCTTTTTGTTTTAGACATTTTGATGGCTCCATACAAGGATCGAATTGTGGGTTTTTTTGGGTTTTGGTTTTTTTTTTTTGGTACCGGGGATTGAATTTGGGTCCTTGCGCTTGCAAGGCAGGCGGCAGAACCACTAAGCTGAATCCCTGGCCCTCATCGTGTTTTTAAAATTGCCCTTCCCCCAAAAACAAACCAAGCAAAGAGAAACAAAAAAATACATAAAATAAAATTGCATACCCCTGATTAATGAATCTGAGCACCTTTTCATACAGTGCTTTTCATACTGTTCTTTTTTGTGATGTGCTGTTCAAGTCCTTTACCTATTTCTTAACATCAGTTGTCTCTTCTTTTCTTATTGCTCTAAGGAGTCCTTTTTTGCACAGGTGGGCATTGGATCCAGGGCCTTGAACATGCTGGGAAGTCCCTACCACTGAGCTATGCTCTGAGTGTGCTCTGAAACAAGTCTTTTGGCAAATACATGTCTTGCTGGTAATCTTCTCCCACACTCTGGCTTGCTTTTCCCCTCTTTAATGTTGTTTTTTGCTAAATAGCAAAACAGAATTCTTTAAATTCCTCATACACATTCCATTTCCTTTCACCTGGGAGTTTTCACACAAACTCTGTGACTTATTCACATCTCAGCTCTCTCTTTCCCTAGAAGCCTCACCCACCACCCCCTTCTGCAGTCAGGACTGGTGACACAAATCCTGCTCACCAGGTTTCTCCTCTCTCCTTATCTCATTTTCTCTCTCTTTCACTCTCGCTCTTGTTCTGGCGGTCTCTCATTTTCTAACACTGAAAGTATTGATTTTGTTCTCTCTGACCAGCTTTTCTCTTTGCATTCAGAAGGAAAAGTGGCCTCCAGTAGTTCTTCCATTTCATATCTCCATTTTCCACCACTGGAAAACAGAACATGACTACCTTTTATCTGTTAAATAAAATGTATAATAGGTCATTGTTATGGGCTCAGTTCCTGCACCTGGCCCCAAGAGACCAAATCAAAATGATATCTCTCATGCTAAACTTCTATGGCATGAAACACAAACTAGCTGTTTATCTGACCTAAGAAATCAGCAGAGAGGACCGGGATTTAGCTCAGTGGCATCACACCTCCCTGGCAAGCACAAGGTCCTGAGTTTGATTCCTGGTACCAAAAAAAAAAAAACAAAACCATGAGAAAAAGGGCTGGGGATTTAGCTCAGTGGTGCTGTGCCTGCCTCGAAAGCTCAAGGTCCCAAGCTCAAGGTCTCAAGTTCATCCCCGGTACAAAAAAACAAAACAAAACAAAAAAACCCCAACTGTCCAGGCTTATCTAAATCTTTAGATAAGATGCTGCCTGATTCATGAATCACTAATAAAAATTATGCTATGGTTTGGATCTTAAATGTACCCTCAAAGGCCCATGTGCTAAAGGCTTGGTCATCGGCCCATAGTGTTACTGGGAAGTAGTGGAACAGAGGCAGGAGATTAGGGCAAGGCCAGCTGACTGGGAAAGTGGGAGTGACCTGTCAATCAGAGATCCAGGACACATGTGCTCAAGCCCTGCTCCTGGGACTACTCAGAAGATGCTCTTTTCAGCTCTGGTGCGGCGAGATCAAGCAGGTTTTTGATAGATGGCCTTGATCCGATGTCAGCCTGAGGAATAGGGGACACAACAGGTGAGGACGCTGTGCTCTCTCTCACTGGCCCACTCTCACTCTACAGAACCTATTTCTTTTCCTACTTTTAATAAATGTAAAACCTCCCTACCTTTGGCACATGTCTTGACCAATTTTTTGTTCAGGACAACAACCACCTGGAAAAGAATCACTGCAGAACCTTTAGGAGTTAGGGTCTAGTGGAAGGAAGCTAAGTCATTGGTGGCGTGCCCTTGAGGGGTTGTCTCCCTTTCTCCTTCTTTTTTTTTCCCAGCTACCATGAAGTAAGCATCTTTGCTTCTTAACCACACATTCTTCACCATGATGTTCTTCCTCACAGTGGGTCTAAAAACAATGGAGACAACCAACTGTGAATAGAAAACTCCAAAACTGTAAACTAAAACAAATCTTTCCTGCCAGGCATGGTAGCATACACCTGTAATCTCAGCACTTGGGAGGCTGAGGCAGGAGGATTGCTGAGAGTTGGAGGCCAGCCTGGGCTCATAGCGAGACCCTGTCTCAAAAAAAAAAAATAACAAAAATACCTTTTCTCCTTTAAGCAGATTGTCTCAGGTATTTGGTCACAGAGACAAAAAGCTAACAGAAGCTAACTGGATCTAAACTAAACTTATTTAAATGCTATCTTTTGATATACCCCTTAATTCCAATGTAAAAAGTACTGCTAAGGAATCTTGGCCAGTGAAGAACATGTAGCTAGAGAGAGGAATGTTGGGATGACAGGAAAAGCTGGTTGTCTTAGTCACTTTCTCATCATGGAGACACAATACTTGACACCCACAACTTCTGGGAGAGGTCGATTTGGGCTCATGATTACAGGCCAAGATTGGCCAGCTCCACGACACAAGCATCACGGCAGAGGGGCACAGGGGAGGAAAGCTCCTCACATCGTGGTGACCAGGAAACAGACGGAGAATGGAAGGCCAGGGAGGGAGATAAACCCTTCCGGGTCACACCCTCAGCAACCTGCCTCCTCCTCCCAGGGCCTACCTCACCCCTATAATCCAGTCATCTTCCAAACACATGAGGCTTTTTGTAGAGCTCAGCAATAGCTATGGCCTGGGGCTGATGGGCACAGTTCTGAGAAGTCCCTTTGTGCCAATCCAAGAATGAAAATGTTAAAATTCGGGCCGGGGATTTAGCTCAGTGGTTTCGCCGCCTGCTACACAAGCTCAAAGACCTGAGTTCAATCCCCGGTACCAAAAAAAAAAAGAAAAAGAAAAAAGAAAATGTTAAAATTCGTGCATAGATGAAAGCCTCATACATTGCTACTGGTAATGTAAAATGGTGCATTCCTTAGAAAATAGTCTGGACAAGGTCCCAAGTTCAATCCCCGGTACCAAAAAAGAGAAAAGAAAATAGTCTGGCAGTTTCTCAATAGGTTAAACATAGATTTTACCAAATGATCCCATAATTCCACTTTTGGGTATATACCAAGAATACTAAAAGCATTTGTCCACCCAAAAACTTACACATCAATGTTCATGACAGCATTATTCCTAATAGCCAAATATGCCCATCAGTTGATAAACCCATAAACAAAAATGTATATGCATACAATGAAGTATTATTTGGCCATAAATAGGGTGAAATACTGATACATGTTTCAATTTGGGTGCATCTTGAAAACCATTATGCTAAGTAAAAGAGGACAGACTCTGATATAAAAGGCTATATACTGTATGATTCCAAATGTGTGAAATATCCAGAAGAGGCAAATCCCTGAAGAAAGAAAAATTAATGGTTGCCAAGGGCTGGGGTGGGGGAGAAGGGAGAGCTGAGACTAACAGATACAGGGTTTCGTTTCATGATGAAGAAAGTGTTCCGGAATTAAAGAGTGATGGTAGATGCATGACTATAGTATAATCACTAAGTTGTACACCTTAAAAGGGTGGACTTTATGGTAGGTGAGTTATATCTCATCAAGCTATTATTTTTTTTTACACATGTACATAGAGCGCCTTACACATTATAATTGGTTGCTTAGTGTCTGTTTCAGTTGACTGTGAAGTACACCAGGGCAGTCACTGGGTGTAACTTATTCTCCACTGTTGCTTCTCCACTGTTGCTGCCATGCCTGGCACTATAATAAATGCTCCAGAATTGTTTGAATGAATGAGACCAACTTAAACACTGCTCCCAGAGAACATCTCCTCCAGCTCCAAAAACTCCCTCATTCCTTTCTCTGAGGGACAGATTCAGGGTGCCAGGGGTCTTTGCTCCAGCTCATCTTCCCAGCCCAACTTCAGTGGTCCACATCCAGTGCCCCTGGGCCTCTGCAGCTACAGCACTCCAATCTCTGGGCAGGTTTTAAGGTCTCTTGTTGACACCTGAAAATGTTCATCTTTTTTTAGACATGCATTTCTTTCTGCCAAATTCATGTATTTTTGCTTTTCTTCTTTTTCTTTGAATATTTTCTCCAGTATCTCTGTTTTGGTGCAAAGATAAAGATCTATCTTGGATTGATTCCCCATGCCATAGCTAGACATCCACAAGGTTTCTATATGCTTCTTGTATTAGCCAACTTTTTCACTGCTGACAAAATACTCAATATTCACAACTTAAAGAGGTGAGGTTGTTTTGGCTCATGATTCCAGAGGAGTCAGTCCATGGTCAGCTGGCTGCAAAGCAAAAACATTATGGTAGAAGGATATGCCAGAGCAAAGACACTCAGCTCCTGGAGGCCAGGAAGCAGAGCAAGGAAACAATGCCAGAGAGGAAGAGGGCCATATATATAGAAACCAACACCACACCTCCAGGATCTACCCAGATACATGCAAAAGTGTGCTTACTACACTGCAGGGCATTTCTTAATCCAATGAGGTTGACATATCATCATTAACAGTCATACTTCTTCAGTGGCTTCAGACTTGCTTAGCTGAGTTAGAATTCAGTGCTCTTCATTTTCTGCCAACATTTTGGAAAAGATTATAGTAACAATAGAGCAGAACGCATAAGGTGTGGCAGTAGTTGGCCAGAAAGTTTCTATACCAGAGTTGGAAAACCCAGGTTTCCCAGGGCTCTCAGGAAAACTCTAAAATGAACATCTTATTGAGAAAGGGTGGACCTGTTATTTTCACATCAAGGGGTGATGGATTCTCTTATCAATATATATATATATATTTTTTTTTTTTTGGTACTGGGGATCAAACTCAGGTCCTTGTGCTTGCAAAGCAGGCGGCAAAACCACTGAGCTAAATCCCCGGCCCCTCAATATATTATTTAAAGCTCAGAGAAAACACTCATTTTTAAAAACTGAGTGAGGAGTGGGCCAGTAGATATCCTTCATACAAAAATGAACTGCTGACCCACCAGGCAAAGGGGCTTCCCCTGAGCACACATCTACACACGAGAGGAGATGTTATATTTCAACGCCATAAGATCTGTACACAGTCGGTGTTGTTATTCCTACTTCTCACATTAGAAAAGTAAGTTTCTGAGGCTTAAACAACTTGCCCAATTTCTGTAAGAGGTGCAGAGCTTCAGTTAGCACCCAGACCTGTCTGATTCTCATGTTCCTCCTCCCACCACCCCCGTCCCGTGGCTTCCCCTCTGTTAACCCTCCACTCACTTTGGGGTGGATGTACTGCTCCTTACCAGCATATAATGAATGGGTTGTTTCTCAGTCCCCCATTCTGCTCCATCCAATCAGAGTAACCAAGTACCAAGCCTTTCCTTGTTCCTGCCTCAAGGTAAAAATAGAGGTGGTTTCACTGTGGTCTGCAGGTTAAATCCTGAACCTACTGATTCACCATCTCTCCAGTCCATCCTGAGACCCTGTGTCCTGTTTTCCAGGGTGTCCTTTCCTCCAAAACTTTGTGACACCCAGTGCTTGACCACCTACCTGCCCAGACCTGGCCTCATGGATCAGTAGGAACCTGGAAGCCCTTGAGTCCCCTTTGGGGCCTCACATCGCTTTCATCCTGTTCTAAGTCTCTCTCCTGTATTAACTCGCTTAATCCTGACAACCATTTTTTTTGGTACCAGGGATCAAACTCAGGACCTCGCATTTTCGAGGCAGGCAGCAGAACCACTGAGCTAAATCCCTGGCCCTATGACAACCATTTTTGATGTAGAAATTAGTGTTTTATATGTTTTATGATTCAAGAAACTGAGGCACAGGAAGGCAAAGTAAATCGTTGAAAACCACATAGCTAGTAAGTTGTGGAACTAGGATTCAGAATCCAGCTGTCTGACTCTCAGATTCATACTCATAAACCCTGTGCCATGAGGTAATACATAGAGAAAAGTAGAATTTTACCACCATCTAACCTGACATTCATCATACTTTTGTTTTTGGTGATGCTAGAAATCAAACCCATCATGTATGCTAATCCAATACTCTACCACTGAGCTGCATCCTCCACTCCTGTATTATGCTTATTTATCTTAGTTATGTGTGTCTCTCTCAGGACACTTTAAACCCCACAATGGCAGAGCTCTTTTTCTATTTTGTTAACTACTTTTTCTGCCTCTAGGACAAGCCCTAAACACCAAGGAAGTACCCAGTAAGTACATTTGGAATGAATGAATGGGCACTCAAAAATGTTAGTGTTGCCCGGCATGGCGGTGCATGCCTGTGATCCCAGCACTCGGGAGGCTGAGGCAGGCGGATCACCATGAGTTCGAAGCCAGCCTGAACCACACAGTGAGACCCTGTTTCAAAAAAAAAAAAGTAAAAAAAAGTTATAGTTTAGATTTAGATTGTCCCCCAAAACTCTCATGCATGTAGAGGCAGGGCTTTTGGAAGATGAGTGGACTATGGGGCTGCCATACTCATCAGTGGATCCATCCCTTAGTAAGTTCAGAGCTGAGTTGCTGTTAGGAATCCTGGCCTGGCTGAAGGTGGTCACGGAAGCGTGGTCTGGAAGGGTGGATTCTTCTTCTGGGTTCCTCCCTTTTCTCTCTTTCCCTGTTGCCATGGGTTGAGCAGCTTTCCTCCGCCCAGGCACTTCCACTGTGCTGCTTCTGCCTTGGAGCCAGCGACCATGGTCTAGAACTTCTGAAACTGAGCCAAAATAAACCTCTCCTCCTCTATGTTGCTGGTGTTAGGTGTTGTGTCTCAGTAATGTGAAAGTGCCTAAGATGGTTAGCTATTAGCTTTTTGGAAATAATAGGCCTATCATCTCCTCCTAAATAAAAGGGAAATCCTTCTCACAGAGGTTCGTTTTTTTCAGCACCCCAGAAAAAAAGACAAAAGCTTTTAAAATAATCTTTTGCCTTCTCCACTATCAACACCTCACTCTTTCTCTCTTCACATTTTTTTTGAGACAGGGTCCATGCAGAGAAACCACTGAGCTAAATCCCTGGCCCCCCAGGCTGGTCTTGAACTCACAGCAATCCTCCTGCCTCAACATCCTGAGTGCTGGGATGACAGGTGTGCACCACCATACCTGGCCACACCTCTCTTAAATCCCTCTGCTTTCCTGAGATATGAGTGTCTATGTGGATGACCATGAAATTCTCCCAAGTCTTCAACTGATGACCTTTCTTCTCCACTAAAGCCTCCCACAGGAATGGCCCTCATCCTTCCTGAATGTCTAGATTTCTGAAATTTTAAACTCCAGTATCCTCTATGTACATATCCTCCTTGGCAAGCTGAATTTTCCAAGATGGCTGCAAGAAGATCTCCCATTCCCATGCTCTTCTTCAATGCAATGTGAGCCCTGGGTCTGCACCCCTTCCTTTTGAATCCAAGAGGGTCTGTGGCTGGTGGAAGCAATGCTGTGTATGTAAAAGGTGACACCATTTCTCTGTGGCCTGCTTTCGACGCTTGCTCTTTGAGTCCAGCCACCATTCTGTGAGAGACCTAGACCACACGAGGAGGCTGCACTTTGGTAAACAGCCCCAGCTCAAGTCTCAGCGATGGCCAGCAACGGTCACCAGACACGCACCGAGGGGCACTTAGAGGTGACCCTAGCCACAGCAGCATAAGAGGCTCCCCAAGAAAACCACCTGCTGAATCCAATCAACTCCCAGAACCCTAACAAGAGATAAGATGGTCATTTTAAGCCTCTGAAGCCATGGGGTTATACTTTATGACCTGAGAGTAATTCAAATACCCTCTTTTCCTTCTCAATCTCTGTTTGCTCACTCAACAAACTCCTAGCTCCCTGGAGACCTACTTGGCCTGAATCTGTTTCCCCATTGAGCCAACAGCAGACAGGTTGGGCGGCTTCCTATCATAACAGTTCTTCCTAGATCATGTTTTCATCTTCTTTTGCTAAACTAAATGTCTACATTCTCCAGTATCCTCTCAATACCCAGTTTCCTGTGTGGCCATGCCAAACCCTCGTGTTGGAGGCTTCCTTCCCAGTGGATTTCTGAGATTCTCCCAGGAGGCTCATCTGCGGCCCATAAAGAGGTGAATTAATTTGCCAAGTTCCACTCGAGGCAGCAGAAAAGCTAAATCCCAGCCACGCCTGCCTTTACCTGCACACTACAGTCTCCCTTTCTTGCACACGTTTTCTTTCCGATATGGAACAAGAATATGTTTGAGTTAATCAACAGCCATGCATGTCTGTTTAAAGTAAAATGTAGCCAGGTGTGGTGGCACTCGCCTGTAATCCCAGCACTCAGGAGGCTGAGGCAGGGGGATTGCCTCAAGTTCCGGGCCAGCCTGAAATTCATAGTGAGACCCTATCTCAAAAGGGCTGGGGATGTAGCCCAGTGGCACAGCGCCTGCCTGGCAAGCACGAGGTCCTGAGTTCCATCCCGGGTACCCCAAAAAATAAAAGTAAAGAAATAAATTAAATCAAATGTGTAATAAACTCCTGCCGAGATGCTGAATTCCTGCTGGGACCAGGTGTTAAAAGCAGTTATCCCCAAATAGAACCCCGATGGGTGTCGACTATTTTGTTTATTTTAAAACTTCCTAGAGAATTCCCAAGATAGCTAGGCAACTCCTCAACAAATCCACAGGTAGCCCAAGAATAAATTCTTCCAAACTCATCAACAAAAGGCTGCACCTTGTTTTACCATTTAGTCGGTGTTCTTTTCAGACTTAATTAGCCTCAATGGCATAGCAAGTATTTTGGAGAAGAGCTTTGTCTTGACATCTTCAAGGATTCATGCACGGCACAGGGAAAAGCACTTCTTCAGTAAGAAATACATTTCACGGAAACATTGAAAGGGTAATTTCTGAGCATCAGAGGAATTTGTCCAGAACCAGTGCAGAGAGGTGGCACTGCACTGATGAAAGGTGAGGGTTGGTATCCTCGCAATCCCCGCCCCACATTGTCTTAGCTGTGTGTGTCTGACAAGACACTCAGCCTCCCTCTGCCTCAGAATTTTCATACCCACTGGGATGGCAGGAGTACTTGCCTCAGGAGGCTTGAGGAGAATTAAATACCTGATGCGTGACACACAAATGCGTTCAATAAATACTAATCACTGTTAGCTTCATCCTTATCTCTATGGATGAGAAAGAAATGCAGCCCTGGATGAGACTAAATTCACCCAGAAGCAATGGCTTAAAATAAACTGCTATTTGAAAATTAAAATTATCATATTGGGGAAATGCTATCCAAAATTTAACTGATCTATATTCCAGTAACTCCATGAAATACATAAATTTGTGTCGTTACTTTGAACATTTAACAACTAATTTAAAATCCAGATTCCTGGGCTTATTGCCTGATTCTAACCAGAAGAGATGCTGAGGAATATGTATTTTTAGCAAAACTGTCTAGATGATCCTTATAATGATATCTGAATTTTTGTGTGTGTGAGACAAGGTTTCAGTAAGATGCCTAGACTGACCTGAAATTTGAAATCCTCCTGCCTCAGCCACCTGAGTAGCTGAGATTATAAGCATGCACCACCTTGACCAGATTCAGATCTTCATCTTAACCAGCTCCTTTCCTCCAATTGAGTCTTTGAGAGGCACTTCTGACTTATACTAGAAAGAAGTCAGACATATTTTTTAAAAGAAAACATCTGGCTTTGCTTTGTAACTTAAACATCCCAGGCCTTATTAAATTCTAGTTACAAACATGGTTACATTAAAATTACAATTGAGTTATAATTCAATAATTAATAATTAGTTCCCCTCTTTAGGTGCCATGATCAGAATGTGTCCCAAAAAAAGGATGTGTTGGAAATTTAGCCCCCAGTGCAGTGTTGGGTCGTGGGGGCCTTTGAGGGAGTGTTTAGGTAGATCAATGCCACTATAAAAGGACTTTCCAGAGAGAGTTGGCCCTTTTGCCTCCTTCTTTCCCTTCTGCCATATGAGGACACAGCGTTCTGCCCCTCAGGAGATGTCACCCTTGGAGGTGTCATCTTGGAAGCAGAAAGCCACACTCACCAGATAGCTGAACCTGCAGGAGCCTTCATTCTGGACTTCCCAACCTCCAGGACGGTGGGAATTTCTGCTCTGTATCAATTTTCTGCTCTTCGTTGAATTTCTGTTCTTTATCAAAATTCTCTACTGAATTTCTACTCTCTATCAATTACCCTGCAGCAGATTTGTTTGTTTTTGTTTTTGTACCAGGGATTGAACTCTGGACCTTGCACTTGTGAGGCAGGTGGTGGCACCGCTGAGCTAAATCCCTGGCAGATGTTTTGTTACAGTAGCACAAAATGGACTCAGACACCAAGTATAGTGGAAATCATATCAAAAATCTTCATGTGTTTAAGTGTTGTCTTATGATTCACCAAACTGATGGTTTGAGTCTCAGCTCCACTACTTAGAAGCCTTGGGGAGGTCATTTGTTACTTATCTACAAATCCTGAAAGCTGGTGACTTAGAACAGCAGCAATCGTGCCGGCTTCGGCAGCATATATACTAAAATTGGAAAGATACAGAGAAGATTAGCATGGCCCCGGCGCACGGATGCACGCGAATTCGTGAAGCGTTCCGTATTTAAAACAAAAAACCCAGCAGCAATCGTGTTATCATCTCTGTGGGTTCTGTGGGTTGGGAGTTTAGGAACAACTTGGTGGCCTCAGCAGCTCCCATGTCTCAGAGATCAGACAGTGGCTGAGACTAGAACAGCAGGGACACACCGTGTGATGGCCAGATTTCTGCTGCTGGGACAAAAGAAAAAAAAAAACCTCACATCTGCAAGTTACAGGAGGAGAGGTTTATTTTGGCTCTTGGTTTCAGAGGTTTCAGTCCATGGTCAGTGGGCTCCAAGGCAGGAACATCATGGCGGAAGGGCATGGTGGAGTAACGCTGCTCACCTCATGGCATCCAGGAACCGAAGAGCCAAAAGGGAAGGGACTAGGGGGTAGATACAGTCCCCAAGGTCACGTCCCATGACCCACACCAATACACCCAGAAGTGTGTTTTACTAATCTCTGAGGTATCTCAAGATTAACCATCACACGTTCACCCCTTGTCAACTTGACATCCAAAAGCCTCTCCTTAAACCACACCTAATCTCCAAGTAAAGACAATAACGAGTCTGTAATTTTATCTAACATGATACAACCATCCCACAAACAACAGAAGACGTAATAATGCCCTCCCCAGAATAGAAGTCAATATAGTGTTAAAAAAAAAAAAAGAAACCAAAATGTTTTCCCTTTTGGGTGATGCTTATTCCTCTGCTGACATCTCATAACTTAAATACTATAATGTAGTTTTAATAATACTTAAATACTGATATTAAATCAACCAATGTAATGTTACATAACAGGCATAGGAATACAAGGAGAGGAAGCAAAGAGCTGCATGATATAAATGGATATGTGCACAAACATAGTCCCCACAAAATAGGAGAGAAATATTCAGGACAATTAGAATGCTCATTTCTGTAACTGGTCACATGGTCTTTGCTGGCATTTATAACAACCTTCTTCTCTTACCCTTTCTGTGGTCCCTTGGCCCTCAGAAGCTCCTCAGTAAGTCTTGCAGGAAAACCCACACCTTTCTCTTGAAGGGACTGGGGCTCTTGTCATTCTGCCTGGATTGTACTGTTGCAGTTTCCTACTGACCTTAAGAACAAGGCAGGGTAACGCCAGGAGGCACTCTGCAACGTGGACATACTCTTCCTTATTTCCATAGTGGAGTAGTGGGCCAGTTTTCCCTCGGTAGGTTGGATCAAGCATGCCAACACTGTAACTCCTTTCTTAGCCTTTGGACACGGTCGTGAGAACACAAAGTTGGCCAGGGAGAAGTCTTAATTTCCAATTTGATGGAATCATTGTTGTGCCTCCTGGTAGAAGCCTTCCCTCACTCTGGAATTAAGGCTTTCACTTGATCTTAGCCAAAAGGCTGAGAAGCAATTGGAATTAAGGCTTTCAGAGCAGCAAAGCATAAGGTCATGGAAACAGACAGCAAAAATGTTGCTTGGGGTCACCTGGTGTAATGGTGCATGGTACCAGTCACATTTCCACCTTTGGATCTCCGAATCCTGGCTGTGGGAGAGAGTACCTACACTGGAAGTTTATGTAGAGCCCATGCATCCTTCTGCAGAACCTCGCCCCGGCCCTGCAAGGTACTGTCATCTAGCTGGTGCTGTAACTGTGTCCTCAAAAGGCCATTCTGCCATTGTATCAACCCAACTGTTTCTAACAGGTGGAGGACATGGTATGATCAGCTCCTCTGGAGGGGCGGGGGTGAGGAGTAAGCAGACCTGGTGTCAGGAAGGGAAGATGCAGATGGCAGTGTCTGCATGGACTTGCTGCAGTGACAGTGACAGGGTTCTGACGCCAGGGGGCAATGTCTGCCGCTGGTGACGTCAGTGGAGCAGGGCAGTGAGCCTTTCCTCAGGACGGTCTGCATGCCTGTAACCCCAGTATAATGCTAGGCTGAGGCAGGAGGATCTTGAGTTTGAGGCCAGCCTGAGCTACGCAGTGAGTTCAAGCCCAGCTTGGACTACATAGAGAGACCTTGGCTCAAAAAAACAAAAAAGATAAGATCTTATGATGGCAGGTGAAGGTACAACCCAGACACATTTTTAAAAATATATTTATTACCATTAATGTGACTGCAGTTTTACCCAAAGACTGATGTAGCCTAAGAAACAACTTCCATTATACACCAGAGAATCTGTTTTCCAGGCCCTTGCCACAGACTATAGCCTCAAAAATGGGGATCGTGGCAGGCATAGTGGCTCACACCTGTAATTCCAGCACTCACAGAGGCTAAGGCAGGAGGATCGCCATGAGTTTGAGGCCAGCCTGGGCTACATAGTGAGTTCAAGGGCATGGACCACCAGGCCTGGCTAAACTCTTTAAATGTCTTTACCGGTAGCAAATGATATAAGAGGGTAGTATGGAGAGCAACAAAGAAACAAAAAATAGGGAAAATATAAAGAAACAGAGGCAAAGTAATTTAAAGCTGAAAGTATCCCTTTCATACAACTGTAGACAATGTAGGCAGCGGCACGGAATGTCCAAGTCAGGTACCACAGGCGATGCTGGTAGTGTTATCATGGGTGGTGAGGTCCCAGATGGTTTCTAGGACCTTGTGGGGGAATGAACAAAGAATTGTAGGGGCTGGGGATTTAGCTCAGTGGCGCTGAGCCTGTCTCCCATTTGCAAGGTCCTGAGTTCAATGCCCGGTTACTGGAAGAAAAGAAAAAAAAAAGAATTGGATATGACGCGCAATGGTAAGGAAACAGAATTAGGTGACAGTACACTTGGAGATAGGAGGATCATGCTGGCAAAAGGAAATGTTCCAGCACTGAGGATATTGGGTTTAGGGATTTAAAACGTTGTGAAGTCTAGGGCGCCTCCCATTGGGTCTTCCTGAGTGTAAAGACGTGATTGACAGATGTCGAGTCGGGTCAGCCGTGTTTACTGCGCATGCCCTTTCTCATGATGCAGTGTTATAACTGGGTGTATGGGGTGCAGTCCATGTGCGTGAACCTTCAAGGACCTCCAAGTTTAGAAAGTTACTACAGGTCACGCAGGGGGATCTGGCCATTTAACCTGACTTCGCCTCGGGGTCCTCAAAGGAGGAATGGAGGCTCTACTTTTTTAATAGTAAATTCAAATACTCATACTCGCGAATCTGCAAGCAGGGCGACTGGGGACGCCAGGTGCAGTGCAAGAAGGAAGCCCCTTCCGGTCCAGGCACGACCGGAAGTCCACAGTGTCACCCAGCACTGGTAGGCAGTGTGAACAAGCTGGCGCCAGGAGGATTCCTGCCAGTAGATGAACGGGGCCCTGAGCACACTGCGCCTCCAAGCGCCGAGATGGCTTCCTGAAACTCGGGAAAGGAAAAGACCAGAGCAACCAGGAAGCCAGAGAGAAAGGGGCCTGGGGTCGAGTGAAGCGCAACCTGCTTAGCCCAGGAAGCCCTGGTGGGAGCTGAGCTGCTGAGGCCTATTCCCTTATAAACTCATGATATAATAGGTGTTTAAAAAAAAAAAAAAAAGGCCTCTGGATTGTGAAAAACAAAGAAACCCTACGTGATGGGACCTCAATAAGAACAAGTTGGGAGTGTTCGGAGCTGGATGCCACCCAGAGAGGAGGAGGCTGGCTGACCACAGGGCCCCGGCTTCTCCAGGGGCATGGAATCCCTAGATTCCCTCGCTGGGGCTCCCTCTACATAGCCAGCCCGACCTGCACAAATGAGTTCAACCCCGTGGCCTGGGGGTGCAGCTAGGTGGCAGAGCATTTGCCTAGTGTATGCAGGGCCCTGGGTTCAACCCCAACACGAAAATAGAATCGAATAAGATAAAACAACCAAAGTTCTAATACTAATAAATTAAATCCCTATGAGGATGAAAAAGTGAATGATGGTTTGGGGGAGCAAAGAATGTGACTGATCTTTACAGCTGAAGGCAAACTAGGATAACTGAGTCTAGCCCCTTTGACGGAAGATTTCAGTGAAATTAAATCTATAAGCAAAATGTTTGGATCAGCTGGGCATGGTAGTACACACCTGTGATCTCAGCACTCAGGAGGCTGAGGCAGGAGGATTGCTGCAAGTTCAAGGCTGCCTGGGCTACATACTGAATTTAAGGCCAGCCTGGACTACATAGTGAGACCCTGTCTCAGAAAAAAAAAGGTTTGGATCATGAAAAGTTCTGGTAGATAAAGCAATGTCAAGAGCCAAGGTGGCATCTGCCTGTAGTTCCAGTTACTCAGGAGGCTGAGGCAGGAAGATCACTTGAGCCTAGGAATTCAGGGCCAGCCTGGGCAACACAGTGAGAAATTGTCTCAAAAAATAAATAAATAAAAAGAAAGAAGAAAAGAAAACAATGTTAAGAGAGTGGGACTTCTTGACAATCTTGGATGATATATCAGTTATTTATTGCTGTCTAATAAATTACCTCAAATCCTTAAGACTTTTTGAGGCTTAAAACAATGGTATTTACTATTTCACAGTTTCTCTCAGTCAGGAATCCAGGGTCTGAGGAACCCACAGCATAGCTGTCTTCTGTTTTAGGCTTTCTCACAAGGCTGCAATGAAGACATTGGCCTCAGCTGTGGCCTCATCTGAAGGTCCAAGTGCAGACAGATCTGGCTCAAAGCTGCCCGTGGTTTCGGCAGGGTGCACCTCTCC